TGTGTGTTTCTTATAGCAGTTTAGAAGTCATTTTCTTTCTTTATTTTCATTTTAATTCAGTGATTTTAATTTAGTTATTTTAATGCTTTAAAGAGAAATTTTAGATTGCAATGTTCTAATGTTCTGCTATCTGTTCTGCAAAGGTACAGCTGTCATAAAACCAGAGAGAGCCTTTCTGCTTGGCTAGAAACTGTAAAAAAAAAAAAAGTTGCACTGTAACAGCTCTAACACTGTTCCTATTGGTCAGTGTTAGAGGAACTCAGCTTAGTCTGACAGTTAACCTGCTTTAGACCAGGTTAGTTTCCCAGCATACGTTGCCACAGTCACAGAAGTTGATCTATGTTAAATTTGCTTTATGGAACCAAATCATTTGACAATGAGTCAGACTAACTGAAATAAGCCTGGCTTATTTGGTAAACTTGTTTTATGAAACAGGCCTTGAGGCATTAAAGTGATCATATTTTCTCCATTGCATCGTATTGTCTCGAATCGCATTGTGTTGAATCGAAATGGGATCGCACTGCATCGTAATAGGGGTTAATCATATCGCATCGCATCAGTAGCTGCTTCATATGTATCTTTAATGTATCGTATCGTTGGCTATGCATCGAGATGCGTATCGTATCGGCCTCAGTCATGAGATGCACATCCCTAATACATATACATACTTATATACGTTGCTTATATACATTTATAAACATCTCTACTGTCACTTTTGATGAATTTAATGCATCTTTGCTGAATAAAAGTATTCATTTATAGCAAAAAAAATTATTTTACTGACCCCAAACTTTTAAACCGTATATTCCACAAAAAAATATGCCTTAGCAAACACCACTAAAACATTAAAAAAAAGGAAAAAAAATTGTAATACAATTTTTAAGTCTCTAAATCTACACTTATGATGTTATAACTATTAATATGATGTTGAGATCCAGTGAAAAAGAAACAAGGTTATTTGGTGCCATTTTAAATTGTGGGTTAATGTGAAAAGAGATGGCAAAAGATCCGCCAAAATCCGACAGCTCTGGTCACTTTAATTGGACCCTGTGGGCAATAAATCATATGCACGGCATATTAACCCTGTAACCCAGTTTTTAACCAGTCCACTTTGTATCAGGGTTAGAAACCTTGCTAGTGTTGACTACCCATAGTAAAAAAAATAAAAAATTTATATCTCAATTGTTTCTAATAAAAAGAAGTGTGATTAAACTCAGACCATATGGCCACTTTTGTTGAAGTCTTCGGCTTCTCAGATGTTTCTCTTTTGGAATGACCTTTTTTCCACAAATGCTAAAGATACAATGTGTCTTATTTCCTTCCGCAGCTGAGCTTAGAGAAGAAATGGCAGATGAATGCTTCCTGTACGGTGGAGTGTCCAGTCAACTGCCAGCTGTCTGATTGGTCAGCATGGTCAGACTGCTCACAGACCTGTGGCCTTGAAGGTAAAGCCAAATACTGTATAAGACTTCTTACTGCGGTGTTAAATGTGTTTGTCATATACATTTCCGTTCAAAAGTTTGGGGTCAGTTAGATTTTGTAATGCTTTTAAAAGAAGTCTCATATGCTCATTAAAGCTGCATTTATTTAATCAAAATACATTAAAACAGTAATATTGTGAAATATTATTGCTATTTACTATAACTATTTTCTATGTTAATATATGTTAACATGTAATTTATTCCTGTGATGCAAAGCTGAATTTTCAGCATCATGACTCCAGTCTTCAGTGTCACATGATCCTTCAGAAATCATTCTAATATGCTGATTTGCTCCTCAAGAAACATTTCTGATTATTATCAATGTT